TGAGCGCCCGGAGCTCGTCTGTAGTGCTCTTGCCGCCGTTCTTTTCAGTGATGAGGCCCTTCAGCCATGCGTTCTCTGTCTGCAGTTGCTGAATGGTAGCCTCTAGCTTGGCGACCTTCTCCTGGGCCTCCTTCTGAGATTGCTCGAGGGCCTGCTCACGCTGCTTCTTCTTGATGCGGAAACGAGCGCTCGCAGCAGTGTTACGGCGACGCTTGTCCTCCTCGGCGGCTACGCGGGCGTTCTCGTCGAGTGATTGCGGGATGACGGGAGCGGCATTGTCGAGCTTGCGCTTCTTCGAAGCCTGGTCGTAGCCTTGTGCGGCAGGGGATAGTGAGGAGGCAGGCGAAGCGTAGTTGGGTGCGAGCGGGTAGTGGGCAGGCTGAGTGTGCGCCAGTGGCATAGACGGGTCAAAGGCTGGAGCCGTACCGAAGTTGTTGAAGTCGGTGAACGGGAAGTCGCCTATGAGTGTATCAAAGTCAGCCATAGGTGTTCAAGGCTACAATAGTCGGATGGTGATGTGAGTGTGTGGTGTTTCTGCTCAGCGCAACAACCAACTACGTGCTTGCAGGGATGTTTAGCTGCATCAGCATCCCATGTGGTGAGTGGCTAGCACATAGGGTGTGGGGTGACGATGCATACTGCACACAAGGCGGGGTGTGCATGCGCCTCTTGTCCGCGTCATTGGACGAAGAGTACGATGCCTGGCAAAGACGAGACTCGATTGGCAGTGACCCAATCGACAGGATAAAAGGACGGCTGTAAGAACGGGAGAATGCTTACCATTCAGATTGAAGTCCATGGTCGCGTCGACGCTAGTGCTGGGGTTGCGCGGAAACTCTCCGTCCGTCTTCAACGGCTGTGTTTGCTCGGCTTCAAAACCGAGGCCAAAGTCACTGGTAGAAGCAAAGTCGACGCTGGTGTTGCGAGCGCCGTCCGCGTCGAAGAAATCGCCGTTTAGGAAGTCGGAGAAATCCTCGGCGGGCGCTGGCTCAGCGAGCAGATCCTGCTGTGGCGACAGCTGGTTGAGGTTCGCGATGTACTGGGACACGTTGGGCCCTCGCTGCCCTTTGTAGGCGGACATGGGCGTTTGTTTGCTATCCGGACGACGATAGAGTCCAGTCGCTGGTAATATGCTGTAGAGAAAGTGGGAGTCGGCTCTCTGCCGGGCCCGATCCGATCGCGCTTGCGTGGCAGAAGCTGATATTGCGAGAAGGAATTTTGCTGCGGCGTCGTCGGGTAGTTCGCTGAATTGGTGTACACGTTCTCCTGCGCGAGCCGATGGAGAGAGTACAAAAAGCAAGAGGGATGTGTGCGGGTGTCGTGACGTGGATGAACGTCAAAGTGCGAAGGGCGTTCTCGATCAATGGGAGCCCCGCGGTAGCTGACTACTTGGTATTAGCGACCGAAGACCCCAGGCCGCGTTTACGCCGAGCCTCACCCCACGTGCGGTTGGACTTGCAAACGACTGTTGCTTTCAAAGTCTCGACTTTGAATGTAAAGGCAATCGTGAGTAACTGCTTGGACCGAGAACGTTGAACATTGATGAAGCGATGAGTCTCTCATGATCGCTCTCACCGTCAGCACACAGGACTCCTTCTTACGACAGCTGAACACTGACTGTTTGTAATCAAGACGTTCAAATTGCCGACAGCCAATCGTGTTTGAGCGTCTTTGTCCGAGACTGGACCGGCGATCTAGGTGGATCCCAGATTTGAAAGACGGCACTTTCCATGCGGCATTTACATGCTATCTTCGGCAAGAAACAAGTAATCAATCCTCACTCGAGTCTTGCGAATAAGGTAAAATATTCCTAGCCATAGTACAGGTGTATGCGACCGCAGGAGCACGTATGGCTGTCAACGAGATACAGTCTTGAATTGATCTTGCAGGCTCGTCGGGGACAGCTTCATGTGTATCAACATTGGTAATGATATATGGTCATCTATGACGGACCAGCACCATAGTACCTAGGTAGGTCTGGAGACTACCTAGGAAGAGGAACTATCATTGTGCCTAGCCGCACAAGGGCCAAAGTCAAAGACACCAGATTGAAAGTTTTCAAATCCGAGCGCTTCGGGGCGATTCGTGGCTTGAGAGCACATGGTTGTCGCTACGTGGTACCTCCAAGGCTGAGTGTCGGGATGGCTAGGTGGGGAGGCCATGTCACGTGGTGTCTCACGTTCCTCCTCGACGCGTCGCGACTCCACTATCGATAACATCGTCCGATCAACAACGCCCAGCAACCCCTCCATGTAGACCAAAAGCGCATCGACGTGATGGCTACCGCCCCCGACTACAAGAACATCCCCCACTCCCACCGGCTGCCCGTAAACCACCGCGAAGTCCAGCGAACCTTCACCAAGCTCTCCCGCCAGTCCCTCGTATCGCTCGCGCTGCAATGGCTCAGCAAGAAGAACCGCGACTTCTGCAAGCCATACCTCCTCGGCGATCGGATACAGGACGAGGATGAGGACGAGATATACGAGCCGGCGCAAAGCTATGAGGTGCTCCAGGAAACGTACAAGCAGCTTGCCGCGCGCAAAGGTGGCAGGAGAGAGGTGCTCGACCGCATACTCGAGGGAGACTGGCGACACGGCATATCCATGTACCAGCTGGCAACGGCCGAGATCCAGTACCTCCTCGATCATCCAAATGCCTTGCGCTGGACAGCCAAGCGTCTTACCAAAATACCGAATGCGCGATCACCAGTAACGGACATGGAAGTCACAAACGATTCAGACCACCTCCCACGCTTCCAGGCGCAAACCTTCATGTCAAATCTTGCAAGAGAACTGACGCCACTGATGAAGGCGCATTACCTGATGACGCGGATAAAAACATCGCCCATGACCATCCTACGCGTCTACATACACGATTCGCCCTACAGCAACGAGGCATCGCTGGCCGTCGAGTCTAGTAGCACAGACAGTGCGAAAGCCGTATTCTTCGTCTGGCCAAATGGCTCGCCTTTTGTATATTCGTCGCTAGCAACGCTCACCGGCCAGGTCGTCGGGGATGAGGGGCGGCATCTGAGGGACATCGTGCAACAAGCAATACCGAAAGCCTTCTCGAGACCTTCTGCGCGTTACCAGTTGACAAGCACAAACTTTACTACCAAGTCACTCGATGCGCTCCTCACGTACCGCGGTCCCGGCAAGAGCAATGCAGCAGCAGGTGGTTGGAGCATCTTTCAGGATCATAGTTTCAGCCAGAATGCACTAGATTTCATTACCACACAAAAAGGCGATGGACAAGAGAAGAGTGCAGGCGAAAAGGGCAGTGCCGCCGGTGGACCCAAGACTGGGCCAGGCAGACCCAAGCGACCACTGGACGGCAATGAGGCTTCAGAGGCCAAACGTAGAAAAGAGATAGCTGCTGGCCGCTTCGGTAGCTCGGCACAGCCCGACGATGGTCAAGGCCTCGAACGAGTCGAAGTTCGCATTGATGACCCATTTCCGTCTCCCGTCAATGGCAGCACTGCGACGCAAGTAGACGGTGACACATCGAACCTCGATGCCCAAAGTACCCATCAGGCACGACGTGGCCGTCCGTCCCTTCTCGATAGAACCGCGGAAGATATTGAGGAAATACGAAGCGAGGAAGGCTGGGTACCGAATGTGCGAGTCACTTTTCAAGGCACGCATGTTTTCGCTGGCATCAGACAACTGGTTGAAGAGGGCATTGTAGATGGTGAGAAGATGCCAGGTTGGATGACTGGCGAAGCAGGTGTCACAATAGGCTCGGTCAAGGACGGGCGCATTCGGAGCAAGGGAGGTGTCCCAGGTGTATGAACTGGTGCTTGAATTACAATGCGCGGCGCTGGCAGGTGTTTCTGATATCCATATACCCATTACGATGATGCGGCGTATGGCGTTGTTCTTACCACTACGACACAAGTTATGATATTGTGCTTCTGTAGAGAAAGCTTAGCTTCGAATGTTAACTTTCAAGAATCGAAGCTGCGTTTCGGCTGGCAAGCAAAGCCATTTCCAGTCAGATGCAGCTTTCTAGTCTTGTTTTTCTATGCTCAAAATTCTTTAGCGCCTCATGGTCCTCCCAAGTTCACAAAGTAGCTTTGGCTGCAAGCTCTTTCCTTGTCTCGTTCTGCACGTCATCCTCCATGCATCCTGACGCGCGTCCGAACCTGATATCGACCACGAAGAGCATATCGTCGGCGAATGCTCGAAACGTGTCCAACATTTCGGGGCTGCTTGTCAAAAGTTGATTCTTCGCTCGAGGTACGTCAGCGCTCAGCCCTTGCATGTATTGACATTCGTCGATGTCATCTGTCACCGAAGACGACAGCTTCTTTTCGGCTACGGCGTGGAACACCGGCAACGTATTCATTTCCTGACGAATCTATTGAGCATCTCAATCCAGCTAGTGTCCACTTTGAGGGCCCTTCAACGTCGTGTGGCTTGACCGACTCTTGCGGCTCAACTCTTCAGGCCGCAAGGCCGAAACTAGTTGAATTCTTCACGAGCCACAGCTTACAAGCCACAGCTAGATCTCTAAGTGGCTAGCCGGAAAGATCGGAGTCTCGCCCAGCCCGTGGCTAGTAAAAACGATGTCATGCTGCAGGAGCATGCATTCGCGGCCTTGCATAATGTGTTGCTACTGAACCGGGGATTGGGTGTGGCTTGCTGTGGCTGGAGCACGGTCTCTTTGCGTGCCGATACAGCCGTAAGGCTGACCGTTACGCGCAAGGGTTAGAGGTCATGTGTTCTCGTATTTGGCGTACGATAGCGTTTAACCGAACGAGACTGAGAACATTGCAGGATAAAGTGGGTTGTTAGCGTTGGATGAAGCTTATGGTTGGGCCAAGATAGACGTTTGTGCCGAGCCGACTTCCCCTACGTCGAGCCCGTGACTCCACCCAAGAGGCTTGGGAGCGGGAATAAGTCTTGACTGCATTTTGAGGTGAAGGACGTAGTCTTGGCGTGCTCTGAGAGAAAGCATATATACTCGAGTAATACCCCTAGCATACACTGCCACAATCGATGGTAGCACCACCTACGAGTATCAGTTCCAAACCAATAGCCTCAACATCAAAGTCAGACAAGATTCGAGACTATCCAACACACTCCACTATCAACCAAACCCCCAACGTCATCACCTTTACAACTCAGTCCCCGACCATCCTGCCGATGACTGACTACAACAACCAACGCATCGACGCACAAGACTTGACTTCAAGGCTTGCCTCGTTCGAAAACAAATCCAACAACAACAACAACAACTCCACCACCAAAACCAATGGAGATAACGCCTCCGATTCAGTTCTGTCCCAGCGACGTCCCCGATCCACCTCTATTGACAGCGGCATCATGCCCCGTTTTACCAAATCAGCAACAACGTCCACAACGGGCACCAACGACTCTCAGTACTCGCAGTACTCTGGTCTCCGCGTCATGCATGCTGAGCCCAGCTCCAAGACGCACGCTGAAAGTGTCGGCGTCGCGCCAGGCGAGTTCAGCAAGCCGCGCGTTCACAAGCGCAGCCGCAGGAACACGCAAAGCAGCGTTGGCAGCGGCAGGAGTGCGAAGAGCGAGGAAGCCAAGGAGTTCAAGTACTATGGCCGACACAGCAACCAGTGGCTCTTCAATGACTTTAGCGTCACTGACGCTGTTTCCAAGGGCTTCAAGAGGGTCTTCAGCAACAACGGTAGCAAGGATTGGTACGAGGACAGGGACCGTTAGATGTAGCATTCAAAGAGAGAATGCTTCGAGCAAAGGGACTGGACACTCGTTTCGTCATATCGAGGGAAGGCAAGAGGCGCGTTTGGAGGGAGAGACATATATCGAACAACAATACAATCACTTACATCATCACCACCAATCACTCTTGTCTGCGTGTAGTTTGCTAACTGAAAGACTCTTCCATAGCTATGTTCCCGCTAACTAAAGCAATGAGTGCAGTCCCATACGCAGTCGATGATGCAAAGTTACACAAGAACGACCCACGGGAATCTCTTCGAAGAGGCAACATTGTGAATCACACATGTGTAAAGATCATGCTAACATCAACATCGAGGTAGAAAAATGTAGAATACAACGTTACAACAGGCTTCATTATAGTCATAAGGCGATCCAATTACACTAAACCAGACGATCTCGTGAGATCAGGTATCATTCGCAAAGAAACGCCACCGCTATGGAGAAAGGGCTCATGCCATGCCCCTCAGAACGCCAATACACCAGAAAAACGCATCCATGTCTACATTGCACTCTGCACTTATCCCTAAAGCATCATACTTTTCCGTCGACTAGCGGCGCGTTCGGCTCTCAGCGTGCTCGTCTCCCTTTCTCTGTCCCGTACTTTTGCGTCCTCGACACCATCGACCTTCGTCCTGAGGTCGTTCGTGCTTTCATTGGCTGGTAAGCTTCCTGTGGTGGGAGGCTTCTTGTCTTTTACTGTCGTTCGAGCACTCGATGTACTCCTAGCAATACCGTTAGTACTATTGCTCCTCGCTAAGCTCGTAGTACTACTACTTTTCACATTCCCGCTTCCAGTGCGCTTATGCAAAGAAGGGAGCGCGCCCTCAACTTTCTCCCTTTCTGCTCTGCGCTCGTCCGACACCGTTGACGTAGAAGATGTGGGCATAGCGGAGTGTCGCCGTGCACTTCTCGCTGCTTTGCCAAGTTCGTTGACGCGGGCACGCGGGTTGGACCCAGTGTCAGCAGGTGACGAGTCCGTGAAGTCGAATACAGCCAAAGTGTCCTTCTCTGGTGGTGCTTGTCTCACAGCTATCGTATCTTTGCTTGAGAGAGCAAGATCTGCAGATTTGGAGGCGAGAGGCTCCGACACTGGTCCTGCAGTTGAAGTAGCCACTCTTCTCTTAGCAGTGCTAGTCTCGGTAATGAGCGCAGATATGGCTTTCGAGGTCGTTGACCGTTCTTCTGGCTCAGTCATTGACGCGGGCGATGCTTTGGAATCTTGGTTCCGGTCAAGCTTCTGTCTCAACGGGCTTCCAGCTTCAGCTTCTTCCTCACCCCTCGGTTGAGTGACTGCCGATACCGGCTTCCACGCGATTTCGCCATCGGCGTCACGCTTGACCAATGTAGAAGGTACATTCTGGGTATCTACACTGGCCCTGCGATCGATCACCGCATCGACCAGCTTGGCGTCTGGACGCCGCATCTTCACATTGAGACTGGGCTCTTTGTAACTGACTTGGGGACGGGCTCGTCTACCCGGTCGTCCGGCTTGACCGGTCTGATCTACTGAGGTGAGATCTCCTGGTGGTGGTGTATCCTTGTTGTCTGTTCGTTGTGTCGACGGCTCTGTAGATGGTGGAGAGAAGGTCTCTTCCACAGCGGGCGTCTTCGGGGGTAGAGAGTCAAGTACAATCTCAGCAGTAGGCACAGGTTCAGGCATTGGTAGAAGCGGGAGTTCTGACGTCGTGTTGCGCGTGATATTCAATCGAGGGCGACTGCGAGCCTTAGGTGCTGGCTTGTCTGGCTTATCTGGTTTGTCTTGACCCGAAGAGCGTTGCTTCTTTGGCGACAAGACTGGATCGGTATTGACGGGTTCTACCGAGTCAGATTTGTGTACACTATTGCTTTGGGGGTACTTACTAGCTGAAAGGACGGGAGGGCGTTCTAGTGCAGAAGGTCTAGAGTCATCATTTGACGCCTCCACGTCCGAAGCACCTGGGGCATTCCGGCGGCTGAACCTGAAAGCATCACTCTTGGCTTGGTTCACTTCCTCATCCTCTTGAACGCTGAACTTCCGCTTGGCCCCAGTGCGCAGAGGCTTCGCGACTGGCTCTTCAGACTCTTCCGGTGATTCGAAGAGAGATACACGCCGTATATTGAGCTTGGGCCCGCTCTCGCGTCGCTTCTTACGCGTCTCGAGGTTCACCGATAGTGCGGGTTCACCATCGTCTGCAGCTTCTTCTCGCTGTTCTTCTATCGCGGGGCTGGGGTCGAAACCGATGGGGTCCTCATCTTCAAATCGGGCAACTGGCGGAGGGCCGATGTCTGGGGACTGACTGTCTGGGTCTTCTAAGGTCTGCTGAAGCTCGTCCGCACTACAAGAAGTTAGCTTCATGCGCGTCTGTACGTGTCACTGCTTGGAACGCGATCCAGACGTACCCCATTGTCCTGCGAGGATAGTATTTGTCTTCCGTGATAGTAGGAAGCATGGCGTTCTCAACCTCCTGTAGACCCAGTCCACTCCTCCATTGCCGCTCTTCTCCGCTCTTCCTCTTCGCAGTCATCTGGCTTTTCCGTCTTCCTCGGTCTTTCCCACCCCCACTTCTTGTTTGCGATAGGCCAGCTACCAGGCTGCTGAGCTCTGATAGCTTGGCTTCAAGCTGTGTTTTGACAACATCAAATTGGTCGAGTGCCGGACGCGACTCAATCGTGTTGTGAAGATTCAAGACTTGCTCGCGCAATGCCAAATTCTCGGCAAGAAGTCGCGAGCAGTCAGTTTCGAGGCTGCGGATGCGGATAGATTGGATCGAATTCGTCTTTGCGAGTTCGCGGTTTTGCCTCAAAAAGCGTCGTTTGAGGGCTTCGATGGATTCCGCCGACGGCTGGGGTGCAATCGGCGGCTCGTTGAGACGCGCCATATGCGCAGATAGGTATTTCGAGATTAATTATAGTATTGTAGACGGTCGCGCAGTTGTCGTGGCGTTGCTACTCTAGGGCGTCGGTAGGTGTTCCTTCTGTGTTCGTCATTGCATGTTTACATAGCAACAAAGCTAAGTTCAGACGGGTTAGCGCCAAGGGCGCGTCCACGTGACGAGAGGGGCACGAACGCGTTCACCAATGCAGGAGGGTAGCATTTGATATGGTAACCGCATACGTATCTCACAGGACCAGAAGACGGAAAAGTTTAACAATCAATTTTCACGTGTTCACCCGGGGCAGGCTTTCCTCCTGTCGACGCATCTACGCAAGCAAAAACACCTACCTACTATTTCCGACCTCGACTTCTTCAACCACAAATCAGACCACGTCAACTAAAGTTGACCGATTAAAAATATGTCAAACTTCACACGGCCGCTTCCCTCACATCTCCGCAACCAGTCCATGGGCGGGTCCCAGCAACAATCCCCCGTGTTGCTTGCGCGCATTGCAGAAAAGAAAGCCGAATTAGCCAACTTGAAGGACCTGCAAGCGCTAAGCGGCGGGCTTGCAGACCAGATGCAGATGCTCGCTGATAAGCTATCGACACTGTCAGATGGAACAGAAGGTATGTCAGGCGTTGCACGCAGAAAGCTGGATCGACAGACCTCGCAGCCGGCACAACAGGAACATCATGCTAACATTGCGGTTGATCAGCGGTCGCAGCAGTGCTATCAAACTGGCATAATGTGCTAAGAGCTATAAACATGGCGTCGAGTATGTTCTCCATTCTCACAAATCCAGCAAGCACTAATTCGAAAAAGCAAAACTTCCAAAACCGAAAGACGAGGATGAGACGGAAAAGAAGGCAGAAGATGGGCCACCGTTGCCCCAGACGCTTGTCCGCATTCCTACACAACACGCTCCTGCGGTGATAGAACAGGCGAATGCAGCTACTGCAGAGGACTGAGCGGTCTTGACACGTGGGTTAACTTCTGATTGAGTTTTCGCGCTGCCGGAAACTCTACGAGCAAGGGTGGTCGACAAGGGCGATAATCGACGCGTGATCGGCTGAACGTGCATGTCTTCGTACTTTGGTCCGCAAGACATAGCGAGTAAAGACGTCTTGCCATGAGAGATACATGCAGCGGGGCCCAACGTCTTCTGCGATTGGTTTCACACCCGCAGAACAGCGTGTACATGGAAGAACGGTGAACATTGTACCAATCGGAGACAAGGAGGATGAGAAGGCATTTAGTAGGAATTGAGGCTCTCAGCCTCGCATGTGCAATTCTAATGCTACAAGATAATGCTTATCTGCATCTAATGTCTCACGTCCAGCCACAAAAGGCGACGTTTTGCGGACTATTCAAGTCCTTTCCCAGCGCTATGCAATGACGCAGTTCAAATCATGATGTGCCTCATGGACACCCGTAACTCCAAGCAATGAAAATCGTTTCCAAGTCGTACTGACCAACCCCCAATGGGCACCAGGAGTTTACCAGCTAGAGCGCAGCTTACTTCTTCTGCTTCGGCATCTTCTCGTAGGCATTTGGGCTTGGCTTCCTCCGTTGGCGCTTGTGCTTTTGCGGGGTACTAGAGCCCTCGCCGTGATCGTGGACGTCCTCACAATCGTCGTGGGCATGTTGATGTGGCCGTCTGCCGCGCGCTCCACCCATCCGCCCAGCAGGCCTTGCAGTGCTGTTGTCGGGCTCGGAGTCGGAATCTGAGTCTGACGATGAGTCCGAGGAGTCGTCGTCAGAAGACTCGTCAGCGGCGCGGGGTTTGTGGTAAATGCAGCAAACTTCAAGTTTGTCAGTCCCTGCCATAATAGCATCGTGCGAAATGGATCATCGTACCTTTGGAAGATTTCTTGCCCATGCCTTCGTTGTCGACCACGTCTTCGGCCCATTGAATGTGTCGGCGTTCTGATGGCTCTGCGCGCAGACGAAGCACACCGGAAGGTGCTGACAGACGCAATACGGGCTGAGGACGAACCTCCATCGTTCGGCTCCCAGAGTTTGGTGTGGCACTCCTGGGAGATAGCGTGTGCGGGGCGGCCATATTGGTGAAGTGCGACATGTTGCTGGTGCGGCTTGTGTAGGGAGATCGGACCCTTAAGAAGT